ATTTTTTACTAATGTAAGCGTATGTTTAATTTATAAACTTTTTATTTTATACACTTTAATGACGTAATTATGAGAAGAAATAAAATCAAATAGTATGAAAGCGTCATAAAATATAAAAAAAGTTATTTTATAAAATTACCTTGAACTTTGAAGCCCGATTTAATAATTACTTAAAATATATGTAAATAATGTCTTAAATCTTAAATTATTTTTTATCAAAGCTGTTTCTTTATGGTCTTTGTGGTTAATTTTTTTGAATTTATTTTAAAGCAGCTCAATTACCCCTACTAGACTAGGTGAAACATTAGTTAGCTTTAAAAGAGAACAGTAAGACTTATGAAAACACGGGTAGTTTTAATTGAAAGTACAATAAATTGGTAAACTATCAACACTTAAGTGATCCCAGATAAAAATATTTATCGCTATCTAAGCAAAAAGTAGCAAAACGTTTTATTTTGCTTTTATGTCAATATTAGAAAAGTGCGGGTGTTATATTAATAATAGAAAAAGTGCCAACCCTAACAGTTTTCTAAAATAATTTTGTTGCTCGTTGTGATAACATCTAATTTCCTAACTTTCATTTATCAGATGTTTTGTAGTGTGGTTCGTAGTTTTTGAGATATTTTAATTGCTAAAATTGCCCCGATGCTCAACTAGCCCTTAGTTATGCGGGCCTTGAAAATGTTAAGTTTTCGAAAATATTAGGTTATTCTTTTGAATATGATCTCCAACCATTTTTCCTGAATATGATCTCCAACTATTTTTCTTGATACCATCTATCTTTTTTTCAAAATAACTTTGGATACAACCTTATTAGCATCAAATCGTCTTTGCCCAGCAAACATGCATTTAGCGGACCGCGTTGCGCAAAGCCGCCGCCGGAATGCCGGTGCTGGCCCTTTGTGATTGCTAATGCGGCTTACCGTAGCCGGGTAGCTGATGTAGGACCAGCATGCTATTTTGTGTTGGTTTTCCGCTATCGGCCGAAGAGCGATAAAACACCTCGTTGCCAATGTGATTTTAAATAGGCATGCCAGCTTCGGTAAGTTTATGACGATACGCTTTAGTTTTGCCAGCACAATGCCCGAGTTGGCTCCCGGATAACGGTAAGATGTCGTAAAAACACCAAAAGTAAGCATTTCAAGCGCCATGAGACTTACATTGATCGATTTTTATATTTTATACTGTAGTACATGGTCTATGTAAAACAGTAAGTAATAAATAAATAGTATTAAAAAAAATCAAATGAGTCTTTTTATTTTTAAGTCGTACAATATAGGTTATATAAATTAAATCTACATCTATACTTTATATTATAAAATATAGCTATAATTATTGCTTATAAATATTAAAAGTTACATGATTTTGTACCTTTGTTTATATTTATAAATTATAAATATAGATTTAAATATAATATATTATAATATAATATAAAGTATACTTTACTATATATTATATTCAAATATATTATTTTTATATCTATATTTATAATTTATATTTATATCTATATCTATACTTATATATTATATCTATATCTATACTTAATATAGATTACTATATATTATATCTATATCTATACTTAGTATAGATATAAAGTATAGATATACATATAGGTTCAATATATATTTATAAGACTCAAAATTAAAAATTCTAATTTGATTTTATTTTCAACATATATAACTTTAACAATATTGTTACAGTTATGTGACAATTTTATAACTATATTAGTATAACATTGTTCTTTTTATATTAAAAGTTACATGACTAATCATATAACTTTTAATATAACAAGAACAATGTTATACTAATATGAAGTTATATATATATATATATATATATATATATATATATATATATATATATATATATATATATATATATATATATATATATATATATATATATATATATATATACACACGCACACATATATATAATATATACATTTTTAAAAATATGTACCAGCTATAGAAAATAAAACAATTTATGTAAGTTTCAATAGTGAGCTTTTGGACAAAACGCCGAAAGATAATAGCTGATGTTGAATATTGCCTAAAAGATCTAACCATTAAATCAAGCAATATTTCACATTCATCAGAGGAAGTACAATCATTGTATTTAAAAAGTATATCAGATCGAAAACTTTCAACTGAGAGTGTTATTCCATCAGGTGCAAATAATATTGATTGTGAAGTGAACTCTGACAGTAATCTATTGATATTAAATATGGCATTAGACAAGTTATTTAAAGTAATAATTTAGGTTTTTTAAAGAAAAAGGATTGTATACCAATTCAAGTCAACATTGATGATTTACCATTGTTTATGAGCAGCATTGGACAATTTTGACCAATATTAGGTTTAAAAAATGTGGATAAACAATATTTAACACAATAAAACCCCATTTATAATCGGTCATTTTTATAGTAGGTCTAAACCAAAAGACCTTAATGAATTTCTAAAAATGTTTGTTAATGAAAGTATTGCTTTATTTGAATCTAGTATTAGTATTAATGGTAAAGTATATAAGTTTGCTATATCAGCTTTATTTGTGGTACACCAGCTAGATCATTTATAAATGGAAATAAAGGACAATAAATAAGATAAAGCCTATTAATAAATGTCATGCAATAATTAATGGCATTAATTTGATATCTATTTTTTTTTAATTTTTTAAAAAATATTCTTCAGTATATATATTACTGATGCTTCTTCTATATTTTTTTTGTAGATAATAGCTGTGGCAAGTAAAGGAGGCCAGACTTTAAAGGAGGCTGTCCAGAGAATGTCTTTTGCGTTATTCACTAATAACCTCTGCTATAAACTTAACTGGTCTGGTATTACTATAAATGACAATGAAAGTAACTTTGTAAAACAAAGACTTACACTTGCTTAAAAGTAATTTTTTTTGTAGGGGCTTGTTACTCTAATTTAATAATTACTTGTGTCTAATTTAGTAATTACTAATCTATTTGTTAATAAATAGTTGATAAATAAACAAAATTTATTTATTAACTATATAAAAATAAAAAATTAATAAATAGATAAATAAAATTAGTTAATAAATAGCTTTAAAAAAAATTCTATATATTTCTAAAATTAAGTTAAAAAATATATTTTTTGTTTTCCTGCTAGATAGTTAAATAAAAGTCTTAAATTAATTTTTAGGAGCTGTAAAAAGAAATCCTGCAACAACTTTCAGCAACTGAATCAGATTTTCAATATGAAAATGCGCGTTTTTTGCGTGGTGCATCAGACCGCAATGGCAGAAAAAAAGTTAGACAAGACCAAAAAAACAGTTAAGCCAAGAAAAAAGTGATGCCTACATCAAGTTTTCCAATGCCATTAAATAAAGAGGCATTTTTTAGTTCAAAAGATGAATAATATTGTTAAATAAAATAAGCATCTTTATTTACAAATTTGTTATCTTTATTTTATTGAAAACTATTTTATATATTTTTAAATATTTTAATTTTTAAACTCAATAGAGTAAAGTTTTTGTGCAATGAGTATTACTGCTTCTGTGTTTTTCATATTCTTTCCCTTTTACAGTAACCTTTTGTATATGAGATTGTAGATGAAAATTTAAATCGTGATATTGAATCTTACCAAAGAATAAAGTAAGATTTATTATTTTGATATTTATTTAATTTTATTATTTTAATATTATTTTAATGTTATTTTTGAAAAAATTCCAAAATATAAGTTCTGGAGTCTGTCTACTTTTTGATTTGTTTGATTATATTAAATTTAAATATAACTATAAGCTTTAAAATATAAAGTTATTGATGGAAAGCTAAATTAATTTGGTATTTAACCAGTGAAGCAGATAAATAAAAATCTAACAAAATTTTTATTTTACAAGCCATTATTTTAAAGGATTGCTTTAACAATTCCGTTAAAACATGCTTGTAATTTAATGTTACATTTATGATTTAATATTATTTCTTTACAGGAAACCTCAACCAGAGTTATATTTCATAGAATTATGTTGACCATGACCCAACTATTGCCATGGGTATAAGATAGATGTTTGGTTTGCAAACTGGATTTAAATCATACTTTCTTTAAACATATTTATTTGCTCTTTATATGCTTTCAAATAATTTATTAGAAAAAATTATATTCTTATTTACTAAACCGTTTTATTTCAATTATTTGTTTGATTTTTTATATTTTTCAAGGAGTTTTTATAGTATGTTATATTGGGCTATGTTTTTTTTTTTGTATGGTGAAAACTATGTTCAATTTACAAACTATATTTTAGTTTATCAAAATATATTTTTATTGATGTGTTTTGCCTCTGATTCTTTCTTTTTCAGATGTGCACTTGTGTCTTGGGCTTATGCTTTGCAAAAGGGCCACCATCGCCCTTAAGTTGCTGTGGGTTTTACAGTTTTACTTCCAACCTGGCATATAAGTATCTCATTTTCTAATACTATTTTATGTGTTAAATTATAATTAAAATAAAAGATACTTTTTTTAATGAAATAACAATTTTTTTTTATTGTTCATAAACCCCTCAAGCATATTTATAGGATTAGGTATAATCAGGTAGGTTACTGTATATGAAGTTTTATTTTTTTAAAAAGGCACGCAATATGACTTTATTTTTATATAGCTTTTTTTTAAAGTTATTTCCATAGCTTTTCAATTTAAACAATGTTTCGGTTGTTTTTTTTGTTTTAAATTATGCTTAAATAATACAATTAAATTTATATTTATTCGTAAATGCACTTAGTATCTGAAGTTATTTGTCAATAACTGGTGATCAGACTATTTCAAACGAATACGTTTCATAAGGGCTGAGAAGGTTAGTTTATTATCTTTGTTGTAATAGCTCTAAACTTGACTGTTTCAATATTTTCATTATATATCATTGCCTGTTTTTAGGTGAAAGTTAGAAGTCTGCAGACTGCAACGTAAATCAATTTTCAACACATGGTTTCCTGAATATATTTAGTTTTCGATTGAAATGAGAATAAACTGAACTTATAGATATGTTGAAAATTAACTATTTTATATTTTAAACATTCGCTAAACGCAAGTGAAGCAATAATCTATTGATGCAAATATACTTTATATTTTGTTTTAGTTTAAAAAAAAATTATTGTTACTTTTATATTCAGGTTGTAATTGTAAATTGCAATTTTAAAATGATTTATATTATAACTTCTGATTAGTCTTTTTGTTCAACAAGCTTAAGCTTTGCCACGTATGACCTAATAGTTTACAGTTAGGGTAGTGTTTTTCGGTGGTAGGAGAATTTTAGTATAATAAATTCGTATTTTGTCTATATACCTATGCACAAAGTCAAAAGATATTTGATGTGTCTTCCAGGCATTGGCAGGATTTGCATTTTTTTATGACTAAAAATTTGAGCCGAAAGATATAAAGATTTTTGCTAACAATAAGTGCGTTCTATTCAAACAAAATAATAATTATATTTATATCAATGCATTCAAATCTTAGTCAAAACTTATAGATCCTATGCTATTCCGCTATGGTTTTATCATCGTTTAGCCGCTGACGGACCGTTGTTCAAACATTGTCAATTTGCCGCCATAGTTCCGTCGTCGAACCGCCTTCAGTTTTCTGCTAACGGACCGATGTAAGTACGATGTGCAAGCCAACGCGGCAACGTAACGGGCGGCCGACGTCGGCGCGGCATAAGTGCTGACAGCGGTCCGTTATCGGTCCGCCTGATTGATGTTTGCTGGGTGTACACTAGCTTGACCATGACCAGTAGCTGGAACCAATATTAAAACAGATTTTAACTCCTTTGATATAATGATAGTAGAGTTATGAAAAAAGAATTCATCTAGTCTTTTACTCTTGCAACAGAAAGATTATGTCTTATCAGAATCTTGAGACAACGCTACCAAAATTTCACTGCTAAAGTTACATTCGTAATCTTCAATGATACTAGATAAGTAAATACGATGTGCAAGCCAACGCGGCAACGTAACGGGCGGCCGACGTCGGCGCGGCATAAGTGCTGACAGCGGTCCGTTATCGGTCCGCCTGATTGATGTTTGCTGGGTGTACACTAGCTTGACCATGACCAGTAGCTGGAACCAATATTAAAACAGATTTTAACTCCTTTGATATAATGATAGTAGAGTTATGAAAAAAGAATTCATCTAGCCTTTTACTCTTGCAACAGAAAGATTATGTCTTATCAGAATCTTGAGACAACGCTACCAAAATTTCACTGCTAAAGTTACATTCGTAATCTTCAATGATACTAGATAAGTCAAGAGTTGTTTTATCTTGCTAATTAATTTGAGCGGTTGTATAGAGGATATTGAACTTGGGTCAAGTTCAATATCCTCTAAATGACCATATTTTTAAGACATCTGGAAAAAGAAAAATAGCACAAATAAAATGAATGTTTTAAGACAATACCACGGTCCTCTATAATAACAGGCCTTGGCATTGCCCGAAACACCGTAAAAACTGAAGGCGGATTAAACTTTTACTTTTACTTATATTGATACGTTTTTATATTGGGTAGGGAGTAATAGCAGTCTATGTTTTCTAATAAAAATTTCTAATAAAGACGGAAATATAAAAGGAAAACCAAAACATTCTTTAAAGATAATAATATTATTTATATTTCAAATTTCATTAAGAGTAATAATATAATATTAAAAAGTAACAATAACAAGTAGAACCATAACAATGTATATATCTATATTTTGAAAGATAAATTTAATTTAATTTTTTTTTTTTTACTTACAGAAACATAACAAAAAAAAAGGTAACAATAAAAATCACCAACAAAAATTTATTTAGGCATTAAAAATTTTTTATCAATATATCTTAAAAGAGTAAATATTTACAAATTTAAACATATTGAGAGAAATAAAGGCTAAAGAGAAAATAAAAAATATAACAAGTAAATAACATAACAAATTACAAAACAAATTTTTACATTAATTATGATAGTTTTAGTATTTTTGCTTTAAAGTCTTTGCTACTGCTGGGAGTGGTAATCCCTTCTTTAGCAAAATTCTTTTGCAAAATATTATAATATATTCTGCATTGTTTTTTTAAGATTTTAAATTTGTATTTAGCTGCAATGAACTGACTCTGACTAACACAAAGTGTTCTGCATAAAGGGCCAGTGGTACCTTGAAAAAAAAAAAGCCAAATATTGACCATTTGACAAGAATGTCAGAAGGAATTTTAAGTCCACCTCTGCTTAAGCTATTCAGATAACTTCCATATTTATAATAATAATTTGTAGTGTCATCATAATATTTTATTAACTTTTTTGCACATAGTCACCTATGTAAACTATAGTTACTAATACAGATTTATTAATAGAGCTTTCAAGATCATCTATAATATCCAACAGTTCTTTTTCATCAGTAGATATATCTCTAAAACATGTATCACAAGTATCACTGTCAATTTAATCAACAAGAATATCAATTGTAATATTAATTTAGTATGTTAAATATTAATTTTTTCAATTCCAGATTTAGCGTTTATAAAGTAAGTACCTCCAGATCCCTGTCGTAGTTTAGAAAAATCTTTTTAATCAGATCTGTTGAAAACCAATCTAATTAGACATACTTTGCTCCATTACATAACAAAGACTCTACGAGATCAGTAAAGCCATAACATGTATGCGCTATTGCATTGCTAGTATCTAGAGTAAGCTCTTTTACAGGCTTACCTGTAGGTTTAAAATAAAATCTGACACTTCAAGAAACGTTTATAGGAGTTGTAATTGTTGATCACCAACGAAGTAAATCTCTCCACATAGTTCATTTCTAAACCAAATGACAACGCCATTTGACACTTCAAGCATTTTCTATAGCAGATGTTACTTTTGATCACCAGTGAAGTGAATTTCTCCACATAATTCATTGCAAAACCGAATGGTGCTTTGACATTTAAAACATTATCAAAAAATGTTTTTTTTTCAATACAGCAGTACCTTCAAATTCTTTATTTATAATCTCTGGATGCGTTTTCATTGCAGCTACTGTTTCTTCTTAAAATATTAGAACAATTATGTAAGATTGTCTTTCTATTGGTTTTAGATATACTGATTTAACTGTAAGTTTAGAGAGTTTAAAAAGACTATTGCGTTCAGTTTTATATAAAATTTCTAAATCATTTTACTTAATTAAAGCTAGTTCTCCATTGTTCAAAAATTGAAGCTCGCAAGTCTTTTCTGTCAACCAATTGTTTTGTATAGATTTTAATAGATGCACATAATCATGCAATAAATATATACCTGATAATGTTAACAATGATTTAACTAAAACTATTACTTTTAAATAATGAACAAACAGATAATTATTTTTAAATCTATCTATAAAAATAGTATATATTAAAACTATCTACTAATGCATACTTTATTAGCCTGGAAGGTCTAAATTCTTTAATTTTATATAGGTATTACAGTCTGTTATATTATAAAAAAAGTACTTATAAAGATTTTTAGCATTTTTAGATTTCATTAGTTTAAATAAATTTATTAGTTTTCTTAAATAAGAGAGAGAGAGGAAAAATAAAAAAAGTAATCTTTTTTGAGTTTTAATTTTTTATATTAATATTTTGTAATTTGTTTTTGAGGAATTAATATGTTACACTTTATAAGAACAGATTGTAAATTAAATTTTACGTTTACTTTTTTCATGTTTTTTAGTTTTTTGATATTTTTGTTTTTCTGAATGAACTTTTAAATTTTTCTTTCAAAAAATTTAGTTACCATGTATTTATATAAATGTCTAGACAAACAAGGGACTTGGTGGTAAGACAACCCCGTCTTCTTCTCGTCCTTGCCATTTTTAAATATTTTAAATTACGGAACTTGTAAATATTTGTACGGTTAAATTATAAAAAAAAAAAAAAAAAAAAAAGATTTACATTAAACTGTTTTAAACAACTCAAAAATCCTTTAATTTATATGGTTACCATCAGTAATTGTTTCCAGTAGCTTACTATTAATATTATTTTCAAATTGTTTATTGTACCAACAATTTGTTGACATTAGGCAAACTGAAATTCAGAGGAAAGGTTTGCAACAAATTGAGCTCTACATATAAATTCTGGACCTCCAAAAAGACATTTAGTCATAAATGATAAAGCTGTTTAAGCTAACCTTTCAGGGTAATTTACTGCTTGAAAAAACAAAGCACGTCTTTGGTAAAGTAATGAATCATTGGCATAAACCTCATCATTTAGTTGAATGAAATTTCTTTTTAATGAAATTAAATTCATAAAAATACTATTTACAAAATTTAAGTGCTCCAATGAGCATATTTTTGAAATCAATCGTGTTAAAAGGCCGTATACTTAGCAATTTGTAGTCAATACACAAACAATCATTTAAAATTCGTCACATTGCAAAATACTCATATGGTCTACATATAATATCTAGAGTATAAAAAAAATCACCAACATCAACCTTTCTCATAGCATTTTTAGGTGCATGAATAGAATATTTGACTGGTGCAAACTTTATTTATTTTTAAAAAATCTTAAAGCTTCAAATAAAGCTGATTTTGTTTTTATTAACTTTAATTTGTTTACAGTTAAAGATGAGAATGAAGTTGTGTCATTATGTTAAGCTACAAATGATTAATCATTGAAACTTTCTAAAATAAATAATGGAACACCAAGCTTGTACATTTTAATTGTATGAGTAAACTTTTTTATTAAGCTGGAAAACAATAACATCTTTATTATCACTTCACTAAGATTGAATATCGTCATATATAAGTTCATCCTCTTTAAGAAAATCATTTAACTTATCTGGTAAAATGTTTCAAAACTCGCTTAAAGTTACAGTTTTTCTAACTTTACTTGCAGGTGTGGATAAACAACTAGACGGAGTATTTTTAAAAACAGATGGTGGGCTTAAAGACGTTGCTTCCCATATTTTTTTTCAAAAGGTGCATCATCTGGCCAATGCAGTCGACATACTGCTGTATAGTCTGAAACAATTAAACCAGATTTTGGGGTAGAATCACTCCTTC